TATATACGAAGAACGTACGTGATAATGTAATTGTCTGATGTATATATTAATATAAACTCAACAATTATATATTAAATCCAAAAAAATAAAAGAATATTGAGTTCATCGGGTTGGGTTGGTTTCAAATAATAGTAACTCAATACCTACAGTTTGAAAATTTTACAACTCGATTAGACATCGGATTGTTTCGGGTAAAGTTATTTCGYGTTAGGTTGGTTTGGGTTAATCAGGTTGATCGGATTTTTGAGCACCCCTAGTGAGAAGTGTAAAGTAAATTTGACAGGTATGATAAAGTAGGTATTTTAAAGATTGCAGTCTTTTTGGTTTCAACAACTAAACTAAAGTGTATAATAAAATATAGAAAATAAGAACGAATGTTGAAATCTCTCAATTTGGAGAAATCTTTAAAACTTAGGGGGTGTTTGGGATTGTTTATTTGAAACAACTTATGTTTTTCAACAAAAGCACTTATCCATTTATTATAAGTCAGAAGGGTTTAACTTCTTCAAAAACTCCTTATTACCGGTTTGGCACCGGTATAAGTTGTTTAGTTAAACACTCAAAAGTACTTATTATTGGTGCCACACCGGAATAAGTCAATAAGTTGTTTTTATAAGCAATCCCAAACACCCCCTTAAAATGAAGTAGCTGTTGGAGTCGTACGTAATCTTATATAATTTCTGATTTTTTATACTCTATTTTAGTAGTATTACATAATCGTTATAGATGCTCTAAGTAACAACAATTAGACTGAAAAAAATACATAAAATTATAAATATATAACGAATCGTTGATAATTTACGGAGAGTTATAAGTTGATGAACTAAACGTCAAAATTGAAGTCGTACATGTCATCAAAACCTTTTTGATGACTGGTTGCGGGATCCACAAAGTCTATTTCGATACAAAAATATAACCGTTATAAAATAACGAGTTTCTTTTTTCCAACTTCCACCGGTGTCTGGTCGCCATTCGATGCGTTACGTATTAGACATGGCATACCAATATAGACCGGAGTATCATGTCATAACTCTCACAAGTTATATTTCATGTTAATAACAATGTTTGTGAATGTGACATATAAGCTTTTTATATCGTCACTATTATTCCTCTATCGAAGGGTAAAAGATACAACCGTATTAATCTGTTGTGTGCCACTGTGTGTATTTGAAATTACAATGAGAACAASTTTTATTTGATAGAGTTGGTCTGCAAGGTTTTTATTTCACACTTGACATAAGTTCAAATCGTGATAGTGTCATTTTTTTAGTCAAATGATGTCACCGTTTGAAAAAAATTATAGATAGAGTGAAATTACATATGAAAAATATGTGAGAGAAGAGTAATTTAATAAATAAGTTAATAAGGTTTTATGAATATATGATAATTAAGTGAGATTGAGAAAGTGAGAGGTTGACCCCCAAACTATGAAGAAAAGGTTGGTGGTCAACCATGAGTATTTGTATGACGTCATATTCCACTTATTTTATATATATATATATATATATATATATAATTAATAAAACGTAGTATTAATTGTTTTTTAATTAATATTTAAAACAATTAACATAATTTTTTAATGGTTTCACCACTCAACCAATTCACAGTTTCACACTCTCATGGCTTACCGCGCCTTCATTGACCACCACACGAAAATGCGTATTTGAAGACATTGAGTCTTAACATGCAACAAACTTAATTTAAGGTTGTTTACTAAACATTTATTCGGTAAGTGTTTATCGGTAAAATTTAATATTATTATTTACTTATTAGATAAGATTTTGGTCCAATAAAACGACATCGTATAGAATAATATTACCTGGGTAAGCGTTTATCGTGGTAAGAGTCGTAGCCCTCACTTACCGGATAAGACTCTTGGTCCTTATATATCGCTCTTACCAGGTAAGATTTTTGGTTCTTACCAGATTCATCCGGTGAGGTGATGTAACTTGGTAAACGCTTAATCGGGTAAGCGTTTGATAAACGGCTCCTTAGTTGAGCTTGTCAATTTATTAAACTATAAGATCGGAAGGAGGTTGGTTTTAATGATTGGTCATTTGTTAATGATGATTGCTTATATAACATTGAACCATGGTTTACTCTTGTGTTCCGTTACGGTTACCCCTTCATATCTGGATGATTTATGCCCTTTCAAGGGTGAGTATGAGTTAAAATGTACAATCGACTTGATTAAGACTATGTTTTTTGTTTTAAAGTTTTATACTTTTATTTAATAATTGTTTGGTCTCACTAGACGTTAAGCCTAACATTTTTTCTCAAATGACATGTATGTTATGTTCTCTTAGCGGTGGGGCTCCAAAGGGTTGAACGTATTTGTGGAGTTACTAGATATTTTTCTTTTGATGATTTTAACGACCCCCGAATGTAATCTATATTTCGAATTAATATTCTTCTTATTCTCTTATTTAAGTATTGTTCTCGTATGAATCTCTTATATATATATATATATATATATATATATTACAGTTATGATAAGCATTGGGATGAATTCTGTATAGATCTGATGGATCATAAAAAACTAGGGACTTTCGTCTTTATTTCATTTCACATTTTTCAACCACCTTAACATGTTTTTYGAAACCTTCACATGTATAAACTTATTAACGTTTCGGACTTTTGGTCATGGTGATACAAGCGTGTGTCCAGAGGTAAATGAAAGTAGATGAAGATGTGTGAATATACATAGTTGAAAGTTTGTGTTCTTACCATTCTCACCGAAACAGCCTGTTTTTTGATACCCATAAGACCATTTTCTTACACTTGAAACTTCACAGCAAAACACTATAAAGATAAAAAAAATCGAACATTCATAGCAAAACACTGTGAAAGTAAAAAAAAAAAAAAACCAAACTTTCACAGCAAAAACACTATGAAGATTACTTTCACAATGTCTTGTTGTAAAGTTTCAAGTTTAAAAAAGTCGTCTTGCATGTCTCACGAAAACAAGTTGGTCTCACGTGATTCCAAATTTATATATATATATATATATATATATACACACACACACACATGAAAGTTTAAATAAGAAAGACGAAAATATTGAGAACGTAAAAACAAATAATTCATATGTGAATCATTGGTCAAAGGAATACATAAAGGTTTACGGAAAAAGCCCGATCAAAGCCCAAAAAACAAACCAATTGAGGCCCACTGCTTAATTTTACCCAAATTATATACTATGACCAAAAATTCTAAAAAATATCAAAACAATAATTTGTTGTCATCGATAGTGAAATTAATGCATAATATACTTTGAACATATATATCTCCATATGCAACAAAAATGATGTCGATAGTTTACTAAAACAAAGATCAGATGTTTTATATCGAAACGTTGTTTATTCTGATCACTTAAAGAAAGTTAAAAGCAGTGAAAAACATTTAAAACCACAAAAAATAAAAATAAAAATCAAATTAAATATACAAAGAACACTCAAGAAAGAAATAAAATGAAKTAAGGAGCGGTTAGGATCGGTGGTCGTGATTTGGTCCTAAATATTTGTCGAATGACTGGTCAAGGCTTAATTAAGCTAGTCTTTTTAGAACCGGTTCTTATACATCTTCATATGTGAATGTGTATTCACAATATRCATCTTTAATTTGATTTTTCTTGAACATACTAATAATTTATATATGAATAATTTATTCTTACATAAAAATAAGAGAAGAAAAGAATATTAATAAATGTGATTTTAAACTAAAAAACATATTGATAATAGAGGTTCTCTCTTGTTCACTTAAGGGACTGTTTGACAGTTGCTGAATGATTTGATACAGAATGATTAAGTGGTCAGAATGATTAAGAGGCGTTCATGATATAGTGCAAAATGAAATATAATTGTTTGGTATCTGTTTACAATGAAATTAGGGCGCCGAATGGTCAAGAGAGGCCTATGATACAAAATCATTCAGATGATTTTAGAACCATTAAGAGACAAACCTTTTTTTTGCAAAATAAGATTTACCTCTTAACGACTCAGATGTTGCTTCTTAATGGAACTATTAAGAGATAAACAATACTTTTACATAATTCTCTTTCGAAATCCTTTATTTATTTATATATATATATATATATATATATATATATATAAAGAGATTTGGGATCATGTGAGATCAACATGTTTTCGTAAAATCCGTGAGACCACTTTTTTACACTTGAAATTTCACAGCAAGATGTTGTAAAGGTAACCTGCATAGTGTTTTTGCTGTGAATTATCGGTTTTTTTTTTACATTCACAGTGTTTTGTTGTGAAGTTTTAAGAGTAAAAAAATGGTATCATGCAAACCCAACCCTTTATTGTATGTATATATAAAGGTAATTAATGATTGTGTTTGGTTTGAGTGAAGTCACGTGGCGTTGATGCAGAAAGACTTCAGCCGCATCTATGTAAACAGACCACCTTCTTTAATTAGAAATGAAGCCTCCATGCTTTATGTATGTATCTATGTAAACAGACTACCTCTTCATTACGACACCTACGTACTTCTTCCAACCTAAACTTTGGCATCTATCCATCGCCATCCTCGTCTTAATCAATTCAGTCTCTTTAATCATATATATATATACAGTTTCCTGTATGTATATACTTATGATCAATGGCACCACCTTCTGCTTCTGCTTCTGCTTCTATGATCGCCAACCCCATCTCCCTTTTTAATTCTTCAACCTCAACATTCAATGGCTTTCCACCTTCCTCTTCTTGCTTTCTTCCTGCTCCACCTTTCCTTTTTCATCGCACCTGCCACCGTCTTTCTTCCCATTCTGGTACTTACTTTCTGCTTGTCTGAATCTACTAATAAAAATAATTGGTGGAAGCTTGTTGAATAAGCCGATAAGCCACTACCATGATAGTTATATATAGCTAAATCAAATAAGTTGTGAGTCCCATAACAAATAGATGCTTAGACATATTTTGACGATTTTGTTGGAGGATATGTATATATAACTTTGGTTTCTAAACCAAACTTTAGGTGAAGAGATGGTTGTCGTGTCGTCGAAACCATCAACCGAATCTGCAAGGAAACCGAGCCATCCACCAAAYCGAAGACGGGTGGTCGTGACAGGGATGGGTGTCGAGACCCCAATTGGTCGGAATCCGGATGAATATTACAATAATCTACTTGAAGGTGTCAGTGGAATTAGTGAAATTGAAGGCTTTGATTGTTCCAACTATCCAACTGTAAGTCATTGATCATTGATCTTATGTTTTTTTTTTTTATATCTCAATCCTGACCCCACCTCCAGGTTGGATATACTGTGTTTGTTTTGGTATTGACGCATGCATAACGAGTTTGAACTACAGAGAATAGCTGCTGAAATAAAAACTTTCTCGCCCGATGGATTTGTCGCACCAAAGCTCTCCAAGAGGCTCGACAAGTTCACGCTCTACATACTAGCCGTCGGCAAGAAAGCACTGGCCGATGGTGGCTTAACCGCAAGTCAAATGGAGGAGATGGATAAGTCCAGATGCGGAGTTCTGATCGGATCCGGTTTGGGTGGTATGAAGGTATTAGTCGATACTATGAAAATGAAAATCGAAAGAGACGGAAACAGTTTCTAATTTTAGTTCGTTGCTTTGTTTCGTATTGTAGATTTTCAGTGATTCTGTAGAGACYATGTACACGATATCGTATAAGAAGTTGAATCCTTTCTGTGTACCCTCTACATTTACTAATATTGGATCATCATTGCTAGCCATGGATCTGGTGAGATCAATTCTATGATATTTGACATGGAATTGAAACCCACGGACGTCCGTAAGTWAAAAAACTGCTTACTTTCATATTTTGCTTCAGGGTTGGATGGGTCCGACTTATTCCATATCTACAGCTTGTGCCACCAGCAATTTTTGTATCTTAAATGCCACAAATCACATCATCGATGGCGATGCGGTGAGTACGTACCTTCGTCTTCATGGCTTATCCATTCAGCTGTGAAAGCCTTGTTTTCTTGATTTTAATTGTGTTGAGAGGCTTAATATATAACAGGATATGATGCTTTGTGGTGGCTCGGAAGCTCCTATATTACCACTAGGTATGGCTTATGAATACGATTGAACCTCGAAGATGAAGATGGTAACGGTTCTTTGACAACCATTTGAGCAGGAGTTGCGGGTTTTGTAGCGTGCAGAGCTCTAAGCGAGAGGAACGACGATCCTACCAAGGCTTCRCGCCCATGGGATTCGGTATACGTTTCACCTTACTTTATATATACAGGTTTTGATGGCTCGTGTCTCCAACATGCCTCCTCAAACGGAGGCGAAATAGTGTGTCGAGTACCTATATGGTCGTGTTAAAAGATGTGGAAACGTTCTTTGAATTTTTTAAATGTTTTTTTTATAGAGACATAAGGTACTACAACATAATTGGTTTTATAGGATACCAAATATGTATGAATATTATAATGGACTACTTTATAAGACTTAAATTTATACTGTCAAACAATTCTGTGTCATATGTAAATGTGTTACAATATGTTGTTAGAATGTTATTTGACGTTCTAACAAGTTTTTATGACACTTTTTGAAATGTCCGGTTAGTTTTTTTTTATAGGATACAGAAAAAAAAATGTCATATAAATGCATCTTTTCTCAAAACACTTGTTAATAAGACAATTTTTCAAATAATGTTATATCAAAATACTAATAGGATATTTGAGTTGGTTTCCGGTAAGAATAGTAGTTATCGTGAGAAAAGTAAGAAGRGATCTCCACCTTGGATTAATCCTTATTAAAGATTAATTGAAAATACTTTTCTGAGCTAATCCATGGTTTATTTTGGGGATTAATCTGAACCATTAGATCAACACTAATTAAAAGAGATCAAGGGTCCAAATTAGGGGTGGCAAAAAATGACCCTGCTAACCCAACCCAAAATTAGCAAGTTGGGGTTGAGATTTTCAACTTATTTAAATAAATGGATCAACTCGTGTAACTCATTTAAATAAAGGGTTAAATGCATGAAATAGCAATCAACTTTAATAAAAAAATTTATTATAGCATTCTACTTTTGTTTTTCCTTATTACAGCAATGTACTTTCAAATTATTTTTTATTAAGACATCGCACTTTAAAAAATCTACCCATTAAGACAATGGGTAACCTGTTACCTTTTAAACCGGTTAACCCCTTGATTTTTTTTGCTTGTGTGGCTTTAATGAGGTGATGTGGATGACATATCATTTTGACGACTTAATTAAAATAAAAATAAAAACATATTTCAAATTATTATTAGTGATTTTCATTTTTCATTGTTATGATTTAAAAAAACATTTAATTTTTTTGACTTTTTTTTAGCATGCAAATTAAATATTTTAGATTAAATATTTATTAAATAAATATGCTACATTATTTTCGATATATATTTTGTTTGTAAAAAATGTAACACTTCTGATTTTATGTTGTTCAAAAAAATACATATCTTTTAAAGTTCTCTCTAAAATGTTAACGAAATAAATTGTGTTCTACAATTTTTTAATATTATTATATTAATAAATAATTCAAAAAAATCTAATTAATTTAATATATTTATACGTTAAGTAAAAGTTTTTAAACAAATATAATATATTTTTTAAAAGATAATATTTTTTTGGTAAAAAGGGAACAATTCTTATTTTCTTTTTTCAAAAAACACATTTTTTTTAAAAATATTAGCGAGATAAGTTGTCTTCTACTATTTTTATTAATATTGGTATATTAATTCATTTAATATATTTTTTAAATAACATGTAAAATATCTAAACATTAAAATTAAAAGTACATTGTTTAATAAGAACTAGTAGATGCTATAATAAAATAATTTTGAAAGTATAATGTTGTAATACAAAAGTCACATCACTATAGTACATGTGGACAGTCTACGTGGACAATGAGGTGGAGGTGGCATGGAAACCTGATATAATAGATAAATTTAAATCAAAAGGTTACCCAATGCTATAATGGGTAAATTTTTCAAAGTATAATATTCTAATAAAAAATAGTTTGAAAGTACATTGCTGTAATAAAAAAACCTGGRAGTACAATGCTATAATAAAGAAATTTATGAAAGTAGATTGTTATTTTGTGCATTTTGCCCTTAAATAAATGGGTTGGGTTGAATTTTTCGATCTGTCTTCAACATGTTTTCAACCCATTTATTTTATTCTTAATATTATATCTAGTCMAAATTCCAATCAGCCTCCATTACTCTTAATTATCATGAAACCCTAAGAAAACCCTTTTGTCCATTACTCCATTGTCGCCTCCAAAGTCCAATCCAACTCTTCAAGTCTGTTGTCCGCCTCTCGCCCTCTCGATCTCGGCTCTCTCTCTCTCTCTGTACAGCGTTTTTCTTCCTCTCGACTCTCTCTCCATGCAACGTTTTTCTTCCTCTCGGCTCTCTCTCCCTCTAGAATTCGTCTAATTGCCTCCCTCTCAGTTTTCTCTCAGTCCAGGTGTCCAACATTAGTGACTCAATAGGCTCTCCGAGTCTCCATCAGACATTTGTCTCTAGTGGTGAAAGTGGAAGTTGAATTACTTAAAATTTAAAATTTTCCAATTTTTTTGAACAACATATTTGTTGTAGTTGTGTTTTACTCAAACTTTGAACAATTTGTTTGTATTTGTGGTTGGGTTTGTGTTTTCTTCAAAAAAAATTAAATGGTCCGATCCTTTTTCTTATTTAAAATCTTAAAATTAATTGGGTCAACCAGGTTCACCACTTTATTTAACAAGTTGGGTTAAGAAAATCGTAAACAGGTCAAATCATTTAGGTAACAGGTTGGGTTAGATTGAAAAATCTCAACTCATTTAATAAAATGGGTTGGGTTGGGTTGGGTTGGGTTGGGTGAGATTTAATAAAAAGTGTTACAATGGGTTGAACCCGAACCTGACCCATTGCCACTCATAGTCCAAATCCCTTCTCATCTTAACTCCTATTCTCACACGGTGCTTCATCTACGATAATTTATATCAAAAGTGTTGTAAAAACTCGTTAGAATGCTGAAAAACATCTTATCAACTCATTGTAACACTTTTGCATAGGACACACGATTATTTGGTCATKTAAACTTAAATCTTTCATAGATGGTTCGTGTCTAAGACATGTGGGAGTCGACATTGTTGAAGTTCCTTTTCATGATGATGAAATTCATCGGTATCACTTGATCAGGGACGTGACGGATTCGTTATGGGAGAAGGTGCCGGAGTTCTGTTGTTGGAAGAACTCGAGCATGCTAAGGTATYTACAGATTTTTCCATTGAAGATACAAAAATGGATGACTCCATTTTCGATCCAATATTTACATATATCCTACGAGTGTACAGAAAAGAGGCGCTAACATCTACGCGGAAGTTTTGGGTGGAAGCTTCACTTCGGATGCTTATCATCCSACAAAACCTCACCCCGAAGGTAAACATGATGCTTGTTCGATCCTATACAGTAAATCATGTGTGATGGAACTTGACGAGCTCGGGCCATTATTAGGTACCGGGGCCATATTATGCATGGAGAAGGCCTTATCTCAATCAGGGGTGACCAGGGAAGATGTGAACTACATAAATGCACATGCTACATCAACACCAGCTGGGGACATCAAAGAATTCCAAGCCATTGTTCATTGTTTTGGCAAGAACCAAGAGGTGATCACTAACTCGATACGGTTTCATGTTCTTATGAAAGATAATTACTTGCATTTATGAAGTTTGATGTTTTCAGTTGAAGGTGAATTCTACAAAATCAATGATCGGTCACCTTCTAGGAGCAGCGGGTGCGGTGGAAGCCATTGCAACCATACAGGTATTGCAATGAAACAGGTCGTTCCAGTTTTTTTGGAGGCCTCTACCAAGACTATAGATTGCTAGATACATATAACTGAGCTAAAGGCTAAACCATGTATAATTGGACCCCAAAACTTTTGTCGGCCGGTTTCCATATCTTTCATTGGTAAATCCTCAGGCACGACCCTGCAACGAGGTAATTTGTGGTTTTGCTTTCCTTGAACCATCGGTTTTGACTAAAGTTTTGGCGTGTTTATGTAGGCGATACAGACAGGTTGGGTACACCCAAATATGAATCTTGACAATCCAGACAAAGATGTGGTACGAATTCTTATGGGTTTCTTGCACATGGTTTAGCTTGTRCTGTACTGAAGCTACTAAAATGGTGTTAAATATGAAACAGGACATGAATGTGCTGGTGGGGCAAAAGAAAGAAAGACTGGATGTCAAAGTGGCGATGTCGAATTCTTTTGGGTTTGGGGGTCACAACTCAACGATATTATTTGCACCTTTTCGGTAGATGGTGCAGAAAGCATCAAACTTTATCGATTATATCATACTTTATCAAAGTCTTTATCAATAAGTACATTCTTTATTTGATTAAGAAGAAATAGAAAGATCAATTACATAATTAACTTAAAACACACACGGATGATGGATCCATCTTATCAGAATCATATATCCACACCTAAACTACTATACCCCCATCATTAGCTATATAGATATAGATATAACAAGCATGTAATATATATATATATATAGCATGATATTGATTGGTTTAGTTTGATGATGAAATAACAATGATGATGGAGAAATGAAGGAAAATAGAAAGGGGTCAGGGATGATCGAGGCGATTGATGAGATATAGAGCATTACTGGTGACTTTGGCAACATTTGTGACTTTTCTTTTGACGTCGGATCTCACCCTCCCATCGATCTCTTTGAACCCATCAAGACACGTGTCTTCATTGGTCAATGCTGCGCTGACCCATGTCTCAGCATTGCTCATCTGCCACCTGAACGTTCCTCTCCTGAGCTCCTTGAGTTCTCCGAGCGTCTTCCTCAGCTCCTCCACCGACTCCGACATCTGACCGGCGCAGTCCTTCACTGCTCCTCTCTCCCTCTTGTTGGCTTCCTTTTGCAGGCTGGAAAGATAGTCGGAGGCCTTGGAAGCTCGAGAGATGCTGACTTTAATGGCGGCCTGAGCCAACTCCCTTGGGGTGGTGACTTTTCCACCRTACAAAGAGAGGGTGTGGAGGCAGACTTTGGGGAAGGTGGCGTGTTGGCAGGAGGAACTGACTAGATCTGGGGACGACGGTGAGGCCAGGACAGTAGGTGAAGCAAAGAGAGCAAGAATGGAGAAGAAGAAGAAGAAGAAGATAGCCATGGAGGAAGTGAGGCAAAGTGTGAATTCGAAGTGGTAGTAGAGTATCAGTAGGTGAGAAGCAACTTAACAGGAGTCTAAAAAGGCTATCACTTAATGTGACAGAAAGTGTGATGGGCTGAACCCAATCTCACAACCACATTGTCAATTTAATTAAAAACCAACTAGCCCTGTTTATCACACTTAAAAACAATAAAAAATGGCTTAAAAAGCTTAAAGTTTGTGTCTTTATGTATGCAGATGACTGAACCCCCCGAGTCTACTGATTGAAAGAAGTTAGAAATACATAATCTTGATTGATGAAAGTATAAATGGATAAATCTGGTATAGGAAGAAAGGACAGCAAAACGAGAGGCTGGCACTTCACTTCTTTTAAATGACCACCCACATTTGTTGGCCAATTACCAGTGGGGATGTTGTCAGAACCTGATCTAGTTAAACGGGTACCCAAATGCTTATTCGGCAAGTGCTTACCAATAAGAGTCAACACTATAATTTATTTTGATGCGTAAGATTTTAGTACATCAAAACATATCGAATGCAACAATTTAGTGGCTAAGCGCGCCATAATTGTTAATGTATGTGATTAGAAAAATCGGTATATAAGGACACATTTAGCTATATATAGAAATTCATTTAAGACACTTTATTTATTCAAACCAAAATCTTTAAAAAATTATTAATTGCATACCATTGGATTCAGAACCCCAAATGCATCCACAATCAGATACATATATGACACCTAGGGACAACTTACAGGTCCTGTTAGTCAAAATCGCCCATCACACCCTCAAAGGTGCATTTACTCTACTGAAGAGGACATGACATAACAGAATAACATGGATCATCGTTTCATGATTTATGTGGAATAGAGTGGGATAAAACATGTTTCACCCTCACTCTATGGGAAAATGTGGAACATGATGTATTTTACCAATATACCTTCGTAATAAACTTAATTATTTTTTAAACCATCAAATACCTCCCTCTTTACATTTCTTTTAATTTTTAAATTTTATTTATCATATTTAATTCTCTTAAAAATTTTCTTTTTATGTCCTTAAAATATTGTTTTCATATGTTTTATATATTTGGTAAATTTATGTAATTTATTAAATATTAATAATAAAAAATAATATATAAAATAAAAGTTGGAGATTAATGAACTTCATATTTTKGTTTCATTTTAATCGTCTTGACAAAAACTTTCAAATGATATATAGTGTTATAAATTTTAGTTATTTTATTATAATTTAATAAATTACATCAATTAATCAAAATATAGAAAAGATATAAAATAAACAGTTGCTTGGATCCTAAATGCACCCCAACAGAACACAAAACAAATACTGGTTTCGAAAATAAAAGCTAAATTTTAATCCTCCAAAATTATTTGGACCGAAATGTAACAAACTTCTTAAATACGGTTGAAGTTGGAAATTCCAGGCTAAAATATGATAAACAACTTTAAACAAAAAGTGTTTTGGGGTAATTTAATCAAAAGTATCGTTTTCCAGGGGTTAAAATGTAATTTTTTCAAAACCGAAACTTGCTGGACTATCTTTGTAAAATATTGCATGGATTTAAATAAAAATATTTTAAAAAACAGGGGCCAAAATGTATATATCAAAACTTGGAGGTCCGATAATGCACATGACCAGAAACCGGTCATCTCCTTCTTCCGTACTTGGACCCACAACTCAGATTGTGACCCGATTTCAAAACTAATCCAAATCGACACGGTTTTGATGCTCTTTTATACAAAAAACATTCATGTGTCTATTTTATGCAAGTTTCTCTCGATACTGTTTACAGATCGGAGCAAAACAACCTAGTTTGAGATCCGTGGATACTCGTTCGAATCACCATTAATGGTGGTTCGAGGACAGTGGTCTTCGAGTTTCTCTAAACTCGATTAATAATCAACCAACCGTCTCGAAATCGAGTTCTAATAAATATCATATGAAAAACGCCAAGCCTAAAATCGATTTTTTACCTTATAATTTCCGGCCAAACTCGAACGGAAACTCCACGTCAAACTCCGATTTCTTGCTCAACTCTCACGATCTTCAGAATCCATTTTGAGCATTTTTAGGAACGTGTGTAGATTATATTTATAGGCAATTTTTTTGATGAGCTGAACGCAAGTTTTGGGTCTATTCGGCCGGCGATGAAAACAGGAGTTTGTTCCTGGTTATCAAAACCTAGGCAAAATCTAACTTTGGACTATTGCCAAAACAGGTCCCTTGACTTATGAAATTTTCATTTCTTCCTACCTATGCAATGATAATTATATATTTGGTCCATCTGATTTAAAGGTTTTCTTGGTTCTTGCCCTTGAACTTTATTTATGACAATAAACCCTCGTGGTTTGCAGGTTGTTTTATAAATGGTCCCTCATCCCAACGTCCCGTTTATTCTGTGAAGACAAGCTGCTATTCCTATTTAGCAATTTATCTACAAATAACTGCAACATTTATTTGTTCAAATATATATTTCATTACTAATAAATTATATTAATTATTTTTAGGAATTAATTTACTAGCATATATGTAAGTACACAAAAATCTATTTTAAATAGCATTTCAGTAAACTAACTTATAAACTATTTTCTACAATAAGCTAAAAAAAAAACCAAGTGAGGTGCCATAAATGCATTTACCCTACTCCGACTAATCCCCTTATGACCACAGAGGTTCATATGCAGTGTTTCGCGGGTGGCTACCCTGAAATTAGTCGTTTCGTATTACGGGTTAAACATTCAGGTTAATAAAAAAAATCTAAACTATTTTAAATTTATAAAACAGGAGGGGCAACAGCCTTGTCAAGACGCGGGCCAAGCCCACATACTCCACCGCTTGTGCAAGCCCCCATCGATTCCTTAACCAAAATTTTATGATTTAATTGTATATATTTATTTATGAATAACCATATATAAATTTCATCAACTAAAAATGATTGTATATTTATTTAGGATATGTGAATATTTGAATTTGAATTTATTTGGAAATTCAAAAAAATTTCATATCGATAGATTATTCAATTATTATCAAGTCGTACGATTGCACCAATCCCAACATCTTCATGTTTCCTTGTCTTGGATGAACTTTCGATAATGCACATTAAATGATGGCATATGATCAGATCAGCATACAAGTTCACATGTTTCATATAAGACGAATGAATTTTAACTCTTTCTATTTATAGCATTTTTAATCATAAATATAAAAGAAACATAGAAAGATTATGAATGAGTCATGATTTTCAAATTCTTAATTGCAATTCCTCTCATTATACAGATTGAACTATACTAGCTGGCTGTAGTATACTATAGTGTACACATTTACATTCTTCCTCTCTTACTTGTATCATCCTTTGTAACTTTTTTATATATAGGAAGGATCATGCGAGAAGCTAACTAATTTGAGAGAAAGCAAAAAATTTCAATATCATATATGATTAAGCATCTCTGTATTGTCAATGCAATATGTGTTTAATCATATATGATTAAGTACCTTTGTATTGTCCATGCAATATGTGTTTAATCATATATGATATTGAAACTTTTCGTCTTCTCGCAAATTGACCACCTTCTCGTTTTAACTTGACTATATATATATATATATATTCAGAAATACTCCTTATGGAACTCGAACCGTGTTGACGTCTTCTGGCTGATCTCGTACGACAATTTCTTCAGTTCCTTTGCTAAAACTGGCATCCCGCAATAGAACACTCCTGCAAAATTCACCAATGTTTTAACTAAAGTTGGGGTAGGCTAAATTCACCTCTATATATTGCTAACTGCATCATGCCTACTAATTTTCTCCTCACACACATCAACATCAAAACTTACTTTTTACATTTTTAATGTATGATTTGACCTACGTCTGATATTAGGAGTGGATAGCCACACCTAAAAGCAGGAAAATTGACCAAAATAGTCGATCTTTTCAACTAAATTTCATTTTTAACCACTTTTGACATCGAATTATCATTTTAGCCAATTTTTATGCAAATTACTTACGCTCTTAAAAGTTTCTACATTTCTCTTGATTGAGTGGTGATTTTATATTTACCTACTGTGGCATAGGGATGTTTTGATGCTACTTTACTGAACACCTCTCTCCAATTTGGCCTTGCAAAATGTGTCCTTACCTGCAACAAACAAACAAAATCCATTTAAAGTTCCGAGATATATTAAAGTAGGAAAGTTAAAAGTCTAGCAGATATAAGACTCTATCATACTCTGGTGCCAGACAAGATGTCAACCCCATGTTTGGCATGGCTAAGTGCTTGAACCATAGTGATCAGTGTCGATCTTGCATCCCCCTCCTCGTAAACACTCGTAAGATAATTATGCATCTCGATCTGACCCTGTTTCAAAGTCATCACAACCGAAATCACCAACACGCTCAAATTGCTAGATTTCGTTTATTCGCACTTATCTAGATCACGATATCTATCTTACTTTATGATCCATTTCAGCCACTTCATTCATTACTCCTTTGAACCATTCGAAGGAGCCAGGTTCTCTAGTCACCCAGTAAAAATTTGCACTTTTGGCTCTTTTCGATTTCTTCTTATCGCTCGATGATGCCATACTCGAAGACGCTAGACTCGTGAGGCTATCCCCTGATACACTGGTCTCTGTGTTTGAATCCTAAGCACCATTGGCACAAAAGACATCATAAAATGGGCCAGATATATGGTCATAAAAACAAAAAAAACAAAAGCTTGATGACTTGTGCTGCACCGTATGGTCTTCCACCGCTCGATTGGTGTGTAACAGATCTCTAAGAATGCTTATAAAAGGAGTAGCTCCAATTCCTAACCCCACAAGAAGTAACACATCATAGTTCCTGTAGTCTTGAGCTGGAGCACCATAAGGTCCATCCAACAGTAGCCTGGGTAAACTGCATTATGTATTTCTTTAGTTTAGTTTTCATCTTGCATAAAGTTAAAAAGACATTTAGTTTCTTAATTTAAGATAATTACTTAATTACCCTTTTGAATCCACATCCCGGAGATGCCTGAATTTTGCTCGGCCAATCGTGCATGGAGAACCATTATCATCGGTTAGAACTTGCTTCAGTTCTTGTGTCCAGTCACCGACCGTTCGGATGTGAACACTGAGGTAATCATCTCCTGGTGATGAAGTAATCGAAAAAGGGTGCCTGAAAATTATCAAAAGGTAACATATAATAAGCACAAGCGTTAATAATAGAAGAAAGTTCAAATGAGAATCATGAATATTTTGAGAATCTAAGAACCAACTATTTCTTGTATTATTCACAAATGTATATTCATTATGAATAATTCTCATGAAGATTATCTATCATAACATTCATCAAGAATAAAACATGAATAGTTGATTCACAGGTTCTCATTTAAATGGCCTATAATGGATCAAATGCTGGCAAATATAATGTTCACCATTCAAATGGAGAGATTGAAGGGCATTGCAGAAATATATACTGCCCACTCCTGTATTTAAATCCATTTGGCTTAGACATGATTATGCTGAATACATCTCCTGGTAGGTTTGAAACCTGAAAGCAACAACATCCATACAGATTGCATTAAAAGAGTCCTTATAGAGACAGGGGAGTTCCTATATATACATATACATATATATATATATATATATATAGGTGGAGGTGGAGGTAAGTTTGATGGTCTGTGTCTAGTTGATGTAGGACTCCAACATATAGTATCTAGTTATGTTGGCTACTTTGAACCATATTTGGGCAAAATTTGATTTCCTGCTAACCCAACGGGCAGTCAATTTTTGGCTCAGTCAACGGCTGAGGCTAATGAGATCCCTGGGATTGAACCTGTCTTGTATTTAGGCAAAGTCACTCCACCCCCTTTGACAACTGAGCCACACTCCAACTTTGAACCATATTAGTATAAGCTACTGCTCACCTTTATGATTTTAGCCGAGTAATGTTCTGATCGTCCTGTTCTCAGACTCCTCTCCGCAGCATATATTAAGAGTGGAACCGAGATGTACATCCATGTCTGGGAAATTGGAGCATATATGCTTAGTGAAGTAACTATAAATTTGGTCTTCTAATGAAATTTGAGGTGAAATTATATTGCAACTGTTCTCCTGCAACAAGAAAGCAAACAAACTTACCGTTTTCTGAGTCCATCTGTGGACCAAGAACAGGAAAGATCCATGAATCAAAAGCAGTATGTACACCAAACCGAAAAGGTGATGTGAAAACCAAAATGCATTAAAGCCCGTCAATCGATTGAATGGTGATGGCAGCTTCAACAGATTCTTTCTGAAATATCGTGAAGCTAGTGTGAAGGCGAAGGCCATCATTATCAGCATAGATATTCCGGTCACGCCTTCAACCCCAAATACCAAATCCTTGTAGGTAGGCTTTTTATTATGGAAATCCGATGCTATGAGAGCAAAACTTTCTGCCGAGGAGTTCACCAGCCGCGGGAAATCACAGATCATATGGTTCCCAACATGCAGGAGGATTCCAATGGCTATAGCAAAAGCAATGATCTGCAGTACAAATGGATCTGTCAAATTCAGGGCATGTAAAAAATTAGACCATACAAATAAATCTACTTCATGGGATGCCAAATATGTATAAATGTCCTATGATGATCTATGTAAAGGTGTTACAATATAATGTTAAGGACATATTTTGGCATTCTAATAAGTTTTCAGGTTACTTTTGAAATAAAGTGATATTTTATAGTACACTTTTGAGAAGTGTGCTATGAACATATTTTTTATAGGACCTCTTATTTCAAAAAGTTCCTTAAAAGAACTTGTTATGACGTGGGCATACTATCAACTTATTATAACACCTCACACATGACAAACACTTATTTGGTTTTATAAACATAAGTCCAATCTATTAGGATATTCAGATCTTTCATGGTGTAACATTTAAGGGGTCCTCACCTTATGAAAGTTGATATTGTCATCAAAAGGGATGAACAGTCTGGCTTGTGTAGACCTTAGGAATGTTAGCATGTTTCGACAAACGGGTAAAAGTACAAGAGCCATATTGAGCTTGAGGGTCTCCGCTGCCCCTTTAGCAGTGGTCAAGCAATAACCCATCACCTGAAACGCCGCCTTGTTTCTATATTGCTTAAATTTCCATGTAAAGAGACAGGCCATGGCCACTATCCACACCATTAAGATCCAAGTCCTTTGCCAGTTCTCTATCATGGCATACCTGACAATATGACTTAGCCTGTGGACGACACTGGTACGCTTCAATGAATTCAAATTCTGGCTCCATCCTCCGCTAGCAATGCTCAAAGGCCTACTGTAGTTCATGTAGACTTCCCTTTGTAGTAGAAGCGTTTCCAACTGCCATAACTGCAACCAAAACTCTTATAAAATGGCAAGAATATAAATTTTGACGATTTATGCCTTTTTAAGAATGTTTTTAAGCCATTTTACCTCAATATAGCCAAGATTTTCCGGGTCTAGTTCTTCCATAATTAAAGAAGCGTATTCCTCTGCTTGTTCTTTCAACTTCGACAATCTGTTTGCAGCAGCACTAAGCACTAGCAGCTGCAAACATATATCAAACAAATACATGTTAAAGGAAAGTTTGATCAGAAATAGTTCAACAGAGATTTCTAGTCTATTAAGCCCTGTATGGATTAAGTTTTGAGGGAGGCTAAGGGGGAGCTAGATTATTTCTGGTATTAATTTGTTTGAGGTGGCTTATTGGGGACAATTGAGGGGTCCTAGCTTATTCCATTTAGCCATTTAGGCTTAATGGCTTAACGATTAAGCCATAAAGAAACATTCTTGTATGGCTGAAAGAATAAGCCATGCAGAACATTAAGCTATAAGTAAACAGGCCCTAATTGTCGTTCGATAACAACAAAACAAAACAAATCTTCTGGCAAATGTGTAACTCAAAATATGAAGATCGGCTGCATAGAACAACTCCAAATTACATATAACTATGCAATATACTTGGAATTTGAGCTCAACTAGGAAATAAACCCTCCAAATAAGTACCTCCTGTATCTCATTTCTTGTGATCCTTCCATCTTCGTTGCTGTCCGCCCTGGATTTATAATATAGATAAAGATTAGCCCTTGGGCGTGTAGCTCAGTTGTCAAAGGGTCGGAGTGAATTTGCTCAAATATGGATAAAGATTAAAACTTGCTTAACAATAAAGAAACATCACAAATTGGTCAACTTCATTATCAATGAAGTTCAAGAATATGCTTCATATATGCACTTTTTGGTGATTCATCTCATTCAAGATTTACTTACAGTAGGATGATAGTTTGCAATGATCACTAATAAGCCAAGCCTAATGCTGCTCATGTTTGGTTTTCGCTTAATAGGTTTGAATTTATCAGTTAAGCCATTAAGCAACCTTTGTTTTTTAATTGAACTTTAAACAAGAAGTTGAAAATAATTGATTTGATTAAGCAATCTTCTGTTGTCCACGTTATAGCACTTCTTTTCTAGACCCGGCGGCCATATTTATTAGTATTATATAGAAGGGAACCGATGATTACATTCCAGTCTGGTTATATAGTATGTAGAAAGACGAAATTACCCCTTGAAATCAAGAATTCATTTTTAAGATTCTGGAATCACCCCTTGAACCATAAACTAATCCTGCTTCTATGAAATTGGTTCTTATGGTTTCTGTCCATGATTGGATCTGATAATATCACTATATTATTAATGATCTTGCGACCAAAGTAATGAAAAATAAAAGAAAACGTCATACAAACTCAAAAAATGGTGGAAGAAAGAAGTGTCGATAGTGTAGTTGTAACTTAAGGGTTGAATAGTCATTTTACAAGCTCAGAGGACCCTTTGAACACAAAGATGTCAGCAAACTATTGACTATTAGTTCTGCTCTCCTTGCCTACCAAGAATCAGAGTTTTGCAACTTTAACCATTTGGGGGGAAGACTTATCAGATTAATGACAGCGTTTTCAAGATTTTAAGGTGATATCCATGGAGGGAAATGGAGGCATACATGTCAAAGAAGATCTGCAGACGAGCATCGAAACTCTGGTCTGAAATCTGTAACCAAAAGTCGTAAAGCTCTGCTTTCGTGATCTTCCCCAATTTCTGTTGTCTTCTTCTCGCCAATGCGTCGAACACTCCCAACGCAAACTCCTTTGAATCCGCCATTCCTGCAAAAATCGCAAACTGAAAAAGGAGGAATGGGACGAATTGTTTTAGGTGAAATGGTTGATGATAAATTCTGACGATCACCTATGCATTCGGCGAAATCTTCTCGAGCTAGGAGGCCGTCATCCCTAGCTAGACACAGGAACCTCGATTCAACGTTTTTCCACAGCTCGTTAACGTCGGATGCGTTTGTGGTTTTGCTGATAAACCTCAGACCTCCTAGCGCTCGTTGAGCGCTAGATTTGGTCCGAATTAACTTAGCTTTCAATTTCCTAGCATCTCGAGATGTGATCGCATGGTCCACACTGACATCCGTAGAAGACGCTCGTGAGGAAGACGATGTCAACCACGAAAATTTCCGACGAAGGCGGGAGGTGACGGCGGTTGGCGATTGTGAAATTGGAGGAGGATGCGGATTGTTAGCGGTGGGAGTGACGCTACACAGGATAATCGAATCATCTTCCAACTCCAACGTGACTTCCACTAAATCCTTATCATTGTTGCGTTGGAGATCATTGAGGAATATAGGGAGCATTGCTCCTCCAATTCCGTAAACGTCATTGGAATCCTCAACCAACATTCGGCTGTAATTCGATCTTCCGTCGGAACTGCTACTGGCCGGAGAATCAGAAGCCATGATTGTGGCTTGAAATCGAGTGGTAACATACGTGTTTAAGCGTGAATTTGCATCAAATAGGTATCAAAATCAAAGCAACAGGTTGGGTTGAAAAAAGGGTCTGTGAAACAAACACCTCTCAACCGATGGTAGCACACGAATTCAACGTTTGTCTATGGAGAGTAGTTGAGTCTTGTTTCTTTAACCCTCCATCTTTTCCTACTCCTACCTTGCCATTATAAACTATACATCCACCCTTTCCATATTTCCAATTCTATTTTCTTCCCTTCATCTAACAATTCCAGTCCCTCAACTATCTCTTTATTTCTCTTTCTACCCTTGTCTCGTAATCACCCGCACCGCTAAACCAACCGAATACAGTTCGTTATTTTCATTGCTTTATACAAGGTATCATATTATGTATTTTATATGTATATCTAGATATTACAGTAAATATCATTTGTAAATATTAGAGTGTGTATCTTGTGTTCACATAAGATAAGATGATAATAGGAATGATGAATATTTATGGTATTGAAATTACTGATGATGAGCTGTAAAATGAAGATGTATGCATGGTGGGTTTACGTAAGTAGTAGAGATATTAATTAATAAAATATGAAAAAATGGTAATTTGGTAGCGAACATTAATTGATTCTGATTTGTTTGGTTTTCCATGGGCTGGAGCTGGAGTCGTGTCTCCCACTCATCCCTTCTTCCATCTCACGACTTCACTTCTACTCTTTACTTAATCACCATTATATTATATACATATACATATACATATACATACATATATATATATATATATACATGGTTGGTGTTTTCTTTGATTCCTTTCTTCTAGAAGCAATCGAAATTATCACTAAGATCGAGTTTTTATTGTAAAATAAATATATGTTGATCAATATTTTAAAACTTAGTGTTAGGTGATGACCCATTAATTCTCAAAGTTATCACAATTTTATAGGTTCTCAAAAAAATGTCCCCCCAATGTAAACACATATACACATATATTGGTTAGGTTCGTACGAGAGCAGTAACCGAACAAGAGAATAATAAAATGGTCAAATCACATGTGATTTAACACTAAAATCACATTGTGATTCGTGTGATTTTAATCGCGACATGAAGCCGCGGGCCACGGCGTCCGTACACTTATATGTTGACCCGCGTTAATGAAAAATCACATGTGATTGAATCATTTTTGTGTTCTGATTTTCTGTTGTTATTCTCGTTTGAATCTACATCTATATATACACATGTATTTCATGATAAAAAAAAATCAAATACCATGATTATTGGAGTGATATATATATATATATATATATGAGCAATCAAATGCAAACCACCCAAGTTGTACAAACCGTACAAACCGTGCAAACCATCCTCATCCGTCGATTTCATTGTTTAATCTTATGAAATTTTTTCATGAAATTGTTTAATCTTGTGAAATTGTTTCATATAATACCTTTTTGATGAAATTGTTTCATATAATACTTAATGAAATTGTTCCATGTATTTCTCTAAAATTAAAATAATGAATATGTTCATATCCATAATTAACACTTTGCACAATAAAAATAATTAATTAATCTCTCATAATTACAAAAAATAAACAAAATGAAAAATTATGATTGATTGAATGAGGTTTGTACGATTTGTACAAATAACGTGGTTTGCAAAGTAAACCTTCTTTATATATATACGTAGTTGTTTATAGAAGGTAATTAAGATATAAAATWGAAAGGAAATTAAGGATGTTATATAACAAATTTATTGATGTATTTAATTTTAAAAATGTTAGAAAGGAGTTGGTAATGAGCTTTCACTTAATTAATTATTAATCATTTTGTTTATGGATGGTCCATGGTTTAACACATAACCTCTTGCTTAACGGTTTTTTTCTAAAATATAATATTTAAATAACAATTGATTTTAATCCACATTTCTTCTTTTATACCTTATACATACATACATACATAACATAACATACATACATACATACATACATACAGGAAAATCAAACGAGAATGCTAACTATTTAAAAGAATACAAAAACAGCTAAAAATTACGTGCAAAATCACATGTAATTTTACAATGAAGGTAAGAAAAGAGGTGTACGGACGACTTTGGCCGCATTTTCAGGTCACAGGGCAAAGTCGCGTGAATCACGTGTGATTTTGTACGTTATGTTAGTGTAATATCACATGTGATTCGACTGTTTTTTTATTCTCTTAAATAGGTACTCTTATCGTTTGAAACCGACTCTACATACATATATGTATATATGCATAGATGAAGAACCGTGTGAGAATATTAGTTAAGATGAGAACTATAAGAAAGGATTTAGACCCTTGATCATCTTTAAATACAAACCAACCCATGAATTGCCTTTAGAAATAAATTGTTCCGATGTTTCTCATTAGTGTTGATTTAGTGGAACTCTTCAATTATGATTGATCCAAATATGAAGATACTTTCTTACATTTTTTACCATAACTTTCATTCTTACTGAAATCCAACAGTGCTGGTATGTATTATTAAATAAGTTAAATGTTGCAAATCAAAGTCAAGTGATTTATGGCCTTAATATGATGCTCAATAATTGATGATTTTAAGATTTAAACTTTAAAATAAGTTATTTAAAAAAAACACAATATATTTTTCCTTCTAGAAGACCTACCAATATTCTTCAAATAAGTTATAAGTATTTATAATAAAACTTTATTTTTTATACATTAATTTATTACATCATGCTATTGTATAACTTACATATATTATTAAGAATCTGGACCTTTGATCGTTTTTAATCTCAACAACCCCATGAATTGCATTTATCATATAAATTGATTTGGTGCATCTCGGTGCATTACATTTGTGTTGAATTCAAATTATGATTGATCTGATTGTTGAGATCCATTATCACCCTTTGCACTACAACTTTCATTTTCACCAGAACCCGACTCATATTGTTGATATTATAAGTTTAAAAATCATTTAATTAAATGTTATATTAAAACGGTCGTATACATTTTAACAAAACAATTACGCTAAATTTGTTGTAATTATAGACTTTTTCTATTTTGTTTTTATGGTCAGATACTTGATCATTCAAAATGAGAGAGTTTAATATATTTTTTTTATTTAAAAAACTTAATCAATCAAAATAAGAAAATTTAATTGGTTTTTCATTTTAAAAAATAGTTTAAAAACTTAATCATTTAAAATAATAATTTAGAAACCATTTTGTTTGTGGAGTACATGTCGGACTGTACTCACTATAAAAATTATTGTGCATTTGTACTTCTCTAGAAGTGTGATTTACGCTGAATCAAGCTGCCCAAAATTATATTATTTTTATTAAATTACATAAAAAATTATATATTTATTAATATCTATACTATCTTATAAAGTATTTGGCTAAAACTCTTAAACCCGTTTATCCCTATCCAATTTTATTTCATATCTGAATTCGTATAACTAACTGTAGATAAATACAATCAAATACAGAATAAACATCTCATTTTAAATATAAAAAATCTAAAATATAATTAGTATAATCATTAAATTATAACAGAATTCTTAATTATTATCTTTATAAAATTTATAATATTAAACCAAAAATAAATTGTTTTATTATTAAACTTAAATTAAATTATATATAAAAAAATATTCTATATTATAAATCATTTGACAAAAACTCTTAAAAACCACTTTTCATGCGTAAAGTACTGTTTATTAATGMATATTATTTAAAACTCAAGATTACAAGTAAATTGTGCGTAGGAACAACTTATTAAAGCTTCATATCTGAATTCGTGTAACTAACTGCGGATAAACACAATCAAATACAGGATAAACATCTCATTTTAAACATAAAAAATTTAAAATATAATTAAGATAATCATTTAAGTTCTAACAGAATACTTAATTATTATATTTATAAAATATTATATTATTAAACCAAAAATAAATTATTTCATTATTAAACTTAAATTAAATTATTTAAAAAAAATCTATACTATATTATAAAGCATTTGACAAAAACTCTTAAAAACTACTTTTTATGCGTAAAGTACTGTTTATTAAT